TCTTATATGTTAAAATTGTTATTGTTGGAATAAATGTTGAATTTTGTATTATTTTGCAGTTTTTTTATCCAAAGGGCCTTCGACGGGATAAATTCGTTACACAGTTTGTTAGTGACCTAATACGGAAAAATATGGGGTCTAAAAGAAACTAGTATCGGGCGAGGGGATACAAGTTTCTTTTAGCCCCAATATTTTTCCGTATTAGGTCACTAACAAACTGCGTAACTAATAACATCCATCTTTCTCTATCTCGTATACGACCTCCATTTCTAAATACAACTAATTTGGTTTTCTCAGTGTTAACTGTTAATTTCCATTTAGTAAAATACTCATTCAGATTATCTAAAAGACTCTGTAAACCTTCAATAGTTTCGGGAAACATTACTAAGTCATCCGCATACATTAACAAAAACAAACTTAATTTACCAAAGTCATAGTCTATTGAACCATTTTCAATAAATGTGGTTTCAAAATCATTAACAAAAACAGAAAACAATAAAGGAGATAATATTCCCCTTGCATTAATCCAATATTGTATTCAAAATAATTAGAACATTTACCGTTAATTGATACATAAGATTTAATTGATTTGTAAAATGACTTAATTAATGACGAATAACATTTTCCCTCGAATACCAAGCTTAGTGAGCTTACGCCATGAGCTTAATCTGTCAACAAAATCAAACGCTTTGCGAAAGTCTACAAAGCAGCAGTACAAATGTTTCTTCGAAGATAAAGTTTTCGTTATAATAGAATGTAATGCGCGAAAATTGCATCAATCGTACTAAGTTCTGGACGAAATCCGAATTGTGCATCAGTAATAAGGTCATAAGGACCTGTTACAGGAACAAAAGAATTTTGCCCACAAAGCAATTTAACCAGTACTAGGTTATATTTGTAGCTCCCTAAGACACGACCCATGAGATATTTTTTAAAAATTAAAAAGGTCCCCAGGGCCTGTGCTATAAACTATTTAGTGCCGCCTTCCAAAGGTGTACGACAGGGTTCACTTTTTTGTCCAAAAAACTATCAAAACAATGTTTTACGCTACCAAATAGTATTATATTATTCAAAATAGGATCTGCTGCAAATTATGAACTCAAATATGTAACAAAACATTGCATAATTAAAAAGTTGTAAAATGTTAAACTCTAAAAATGTTGGTATTTTCATACACTTTTTTGCTACATCAATTGTTTTACGGAAGTAAAACACCAATTTCCGGTTCTTGTACACCAAAAATCTTTTAATATTATTTGGTGCATTATGTTGAGATACGATAGCGAAAAATTCAGAAAATTTGAGAACCGGTAAA